ATTTTAAAGATATCCTAACTTGCTCTTCCAAATGGAGGAAGTCTCTCCCCTTAGGGATGTCTTCTTCTCTTTGGAATCCAAGTTGGATATAAATATCCCATCTCAAATCACTTGATATTTATAACTCAAATAGATTAAATTACATTTGAATTAAAAATAAAATCTAGACTCAACTATCTGTAGAGTTATCCTAAGCAATTATAATCAAATAGAGGAAGACTCTCCCCTTAGGGTTGTCTTCTTTTCTTGGTTTTTCCCCTAAACAGGGAAAATGCCGGGAGGCTGCTGAATTTTTCAGTGGACGACAAGGGAATTGGGCTTGAATTCAGACAAATGAAAAGAGCTTTAATTCTATATGAACATTAATTGAATTTGTCAATATTGAGCTCAAATTTGGATGAGCTACAAGGGAACTTAAATGAACGACAGTGAACCTAAAATTGACGAACTTGAGCTCAAACAAAAAGCAAGATAGCTCGGACTCATATTGAACTTGATTGAACTACAGGGGACTTGAATGAACGGAAGAGGCTCATATTGAGCCTGAACTTTATTTGAACATATGGAGGACTTTCTTTGAACTCGAACCGAACCACAAAAGATTTGAACTTGAATTGAGTTTGAACTCAAGAAGACCACAAAGAACACAGTTTGGATTTGGACTCATCTTGCACTTGTGAACTTGAACTCGAATAACCTAAACTTGAACAAAGTCATAAGGGAGCTTGATTTGTACAAAATGACAAAATAAAAAAAAACTTGAATTTAAGCTTGAGTCAGGTTTGAATATAATTGAGGGGAATGATTTCTTGAAAGATGAAAAATTTCAATGGATTCATCATTTCACTTTGAATGCAAAATTTTAAGTGGAAGTTTTCTTTTAGATTCAAGATATTATCACTTCAATCAAATTAAGAATATTAATAGTGTCAAGTTCATCATACATATTGCAAGTATAATGAGATCTTTAATTGAAGAAGGTTATGGGAGAAAGAGCTCGATCATTGAGTCATAGTATGAGGCTTTTAGATCATGACAACCCACTCTCAATGTTGGACATACCTCATCCCCAAATGACAATCAACAAGAATCTTCATTTCAATTGGATGTCAAATATTAAGGATTAACGGTGTCAAGTTAATCATGTATATGTATGTCGCAACCTACCTTGGAGGATGAAGAATTTTCAGATGTAATTTTGGAAGACAATAATCGAGCATGGAATCATAGAAAACATGATTCATCTATAATTGGCATCCAATAAGAATGGTAGAAATGTGATATTATGTTTACAAATAACAATGATAGTTGAACCATACGACAATAGTTGAGCTATAAGTGTGATGATGTCCCTTTAATTAGCCATCTTATAAATATATGTGGAAACTCCTACGGGTATAGGAAGGTGTGCAATGAATACAACATCCTTTGGTCGACATCAAGTAACTTGTAAATAGCATGATAGCCTTCTTGCAAGTGATGCTGATTATGAATGCATCTATCATCCATGACATAAGAACGAAGTGCAAATTTCTATAAAAATGCTCCACAAGCAACATTAAAGTACAAACAGATATATTCAGCCTTACTAATAAAGAAAATGGGATTGACATCAATCTTCATACAAGAAAACATGATAGCTCTTACTACATCTATGTGCAGACAGTGATGAAAGATCGTAGATGTTAGAGAAATTATAGTGTGCCCACAAGTGACTATAAAAGGTCCATCATGCATACATTGATCCATCTACAAGCATCTATAACCAAAGCAGAAGATTAGTTAGTGCACTATAATCCATCTACATAAAGCAACAAGTAGTGCAGGATAGTCTACCTATGTAAAACAACGAACAATTTTATTCAAAAGCTGCTACGTAATGCCACCGGACCTGCAACATCTATGCAAGCAGAAAGAAGGCGTTATAAATATTCAAAGAATACCCCCCCGCACATGCACTGTAATTTGTATACGCATAGGTACATAAAAAGGGGTATATAATTACCAAATCCTCATGGGCCCCGGCGAGCGTGTTATTGGTACACACGTGACGTCTAGGGATGTTGTGCGGATCAACAAATTTGAACCCGATCCTCCTAAATAGGTAAAAAAGAATTGACATGGTATAATTATAAAATGCCCCCAAACACCCGTATGGGCCCCGACGAGCGTGTTATGGATATACACATGACGTTTAGGGATGCTGCGTGGGTCAATAAGTGGATTCAAGTTTGAACCTTATCCTTCTATATGGATCAATAGGAGTCGACAGGGTTTGAATCATTAAATAAATATACGGTTGTGGTGACCGGTATATTTGTTTTAATACATTCATATTAGGCCTTCAATGCCTATAACAATTAGAATTTGCTAATAAATATATAAAGCCTATGAAACCCGATCCTCTATCAATAACTCAATAGAATCGATAAGGTTCAAGCCATAAATGGAAATAACCCCAAACACCCTGATGATGGCCGTGTTGAATGTTTATCTCAATCGGAGAGGTTCACAAATACTTTCAAATGCCTTCCAAGCTCCACCTAAATATCCACAAAATTCGAAAATCCAAAAAAATCTAAAAATCTCAAAATCCAAAATATTTAAAATTGAAACAACACTATCAACCATTTAAAGCAAAATCCATCCACCCTCCACAATAGTTTGCAGGAGTGGACGAATTAAAATTTATTTCAGCTCACATAGAGCTAGTGCCTAGTCGAAAATATCGCTGGATCCATTTTCAAACAATCTCCTTCCAATAAGGACGTGGTACATGTCCTCTAACCGGCGGTTTTACCGCCAAATGGAACCGCAAGATAAATGGTTATGACCGGGGGCCCTCTGAATTGAGTGTTTTTTGCTGTCAAATGGCACCATGAAATTCTGGTTATGGCTAGAGCCAATACGCTCTTTAGTGGCCTCAAATCCTTGAGATATGAATCAGTAAGATATGATCGATAGGGCACAAAGCCCTATGTTAGCTAAGGTGGATTCAAATTTGTCCTCTTAGGCAAATATCCACCCTAGGTCTACAAGGTACCCTTGGACGAAGCAACCCATGGCTGCCGACAAGGATCCTTCTGTCAGGTTGGGTCGACTACCTTCTCTGACTAAATAGATCAGGGACTACGATGGTCCGGGACGACGGAACCATGAGATCTTGATCGGGTCCATCATCCATTCCCCAACCATCCGCTTTAAGTGCAAGATGATGCAATTTTCAATTTTTTAAATTTCAAATCTTTCAACCTTCCAATTTCCACATTTTTATGCTCATGCTGCTACAATATGCCAGTAACACGTATTCCCTATGTATCTGATTGACGACTAGCCTTGATCGAAAGTTCTCTCTCATTATTGGGAGGGTTAATTAACTATAGGGAATTGCACCTATAGTAAACCAGAACTCAGGTCATAAAGTCCTCACAAAATGAGGACAAAATCTTTGGGTAGTTTTTTATCTTCAAACCCAATTTGTCTTATGAAAATTTACCCCAGAACTTAATTCGTTAAAACTCCCCCCAAAGGTCAGGGGAGGTCGGAGTGTGAATTTTTGGAGCCCACAATATTTTGAATTGTATTTTTGTGACGTCGTGTCCATTGTCCATCGTTTTTGTTGTATTTGGTCGAGTAGCATTGTGGATCAGTTACGGAGGTCAACATATCTGTTGCATTGCTAAAATGCTATAAGATCAGTGCTACATTTGTGAATAGCCATTATACTTATACTCTGCCTTGCATGAAATTTGTTATTTTAGCTAGTGATCATAGATTTTGGTCTTTACATGCTCAATTATAGTAAAAAACGAAAAGCGGTTTGCCGAATTGCGAGTTTTAAAAGGAAAATTAACATATCTTGTATTGGTAGATAAAAAAATCCTCAAACTACAACCATTAAAATTGGAAAACATAATATTGCTATGGTTTTCCTCTGTTTTTCAAACAATATTGAGTTCTTTCGTATAGGGTTCCACTAGAATGTCAAGATTTTTGAATTTGACAAGTTCAGTTAATATAACCTTAGTATATATACCTATTAATGTTCTTGCATTAGAAAATGGATATTTTATCCTCAAATTAAAATTAGGATGTACGTTAAGGGCTAGTTCGTTTTAATATAACTGGTTTGATCTCCATTATGAAATTGAGTTCAATTATTTACTTGCTAGAATGTGAATTAGAATGAATTCCTACTTTAATAATAATAATAATAATAATAATAATAATAATAATAATAATAATAATAGTAGTAGTAATTATAATAATATAGTAATAATAATAGTAATTATATATAAAACAAATGTGTGGCTAAGTAATATTAATTAATCAGTAAGATAATGAATAATTCTTTTTAGTAATACATCAATTGTTTGAAAATTAATTAATCTAGTCTAATCTAGCTTGTATCGATTTGATGATAATATTATAAAAATTATCCTGTTTAATTAATCGATTTAGTCTTTAAATTTTTATTAGGATAAGAGAATTAACTTACTAGTCATATAATTATTAAGAAATAGAATGAATTGTCTATTGATCACTATACTAATTATTTGGATATTAAAGTATTTTAACTATTGCATATTAAATAATTAAGTTATTATTAGAATAATTTGGTTAATCAATGTTTAAAGTATTAGTTTAGCCTATGTTCTTTGACACTACACAAAAATTGAGTTTGAGAGATGTTATTAGTTCAAGCAAAGCAAATAGACACCTCTGAAACTTTGCTTTTAAAACTCAGCTCCGGTAACTTCAAGTCAGTTTTGTAAAGTTAAATAAGCCTTTAGTTATATTATTTTTTCTCTTTTGTTTTATTTAATCAAAAGTTAAGTGTTGAAATCAAATGTACTTAAATTTTTATTATGGTCAATTCCAAATATTGACAGAATCGCATTATTTCCAACTTCTTAATTGTATGGAATTTTAATTTCAAGAAGCCATGAACCGAATTTCATTAGTTCCAGCTACTTAATTGTATGGTGTTTTAATTGCAGGGAAGCCATGATTCCTTGCATTTTACTCGCTTTGGGTGGTAATCTTGTTGATGGTATGTGAAGATCTTTCCTCAAGTTATTATTATTATTCTTATAATAATAATAATAATAATAATAATAATTATTATTATTATTATTATTGTTGTTGTTATTGTTGTTGGTGGTGTTGTTATCATCACTATCACTTTATGGATCTTTCTGACCTGTCTACTCTGCTCTTACTTTAGTTGACAGTGGTCTTTGGCTTGTGCTAGAAGATTCTATAGGGTACTAAGGAGATAACTCTGGTAAAATTGCTTGAGAAAGGTAGAAATTTGTGTTGTTTGAGTAGGCAACCTCCCACCTTGGCATAGTTGCACAAAGCAGTAGCAGCTAACAGGAAAATGTGAAAAGGAGAAACAGAAATAACGAGCAGAAAGGTGTATAATTATATAAAAAAACTATCCATCTCCCTTCCTTTGTTCTACCTGTGTACATACTCTTCTATCAATTTGTTACCATATTTTTCCATACAATTCTAAAGCGAGAGAATAATAATATAACTATAATGGGACGAAAAGCTGTAATAGAAACTAGTGGAAGTAACAAAAAGGTGATATTAGTGGTATATTGTTTTGCTTTCCTTATAAAGCTCTGCATCAGTCCTCCCCTGCAACGAAAGAGTTGGTGCACGTTGTAGTAGTGGTGCTGAAGAGTTCATCAGGTCGTGGTAAACGTATATATCAGAAATGTTAAAAGTTGAAGGCGTATTCATATGAGGCGAGAGCTCTACGATATAGGCATTATTGTTGATGTGCTGGAGGATCTAAATATGACCAATCTTGCGAGGGCTCAATTTTGAATATGTTCTTGTGGAAATCATTCTTTGCGCAGTCTTACCATCACTAGATCGTCGAGAGAAAAAACTTTGCATTGCTTGTGAATATCAACATTGAATTTGTATTGTTCATTGGAAATAGTGAGTTTGTTTCGAACCACATCTAGGATGGAGTGATGCTGGTTGGCGAAGCGTGCCACATAAGCATTTTTACATTTAGGCAAAATAGCAACATCAAGTGTGTGGTTTGTAGACAATATTGAATGGAGTTCTTCCGATGGAGCGATTGAGCATTGAGTTATATGCAAATTCTACTTCGTCAAGTACATTGTCCCAAGTTTTAGGATGATTTTGCACGAGACAACGTAACATATTTCCAAGTGTGCGATTCACTACTTCCGTTTGTCCATCAGATTGTGGGTGGCATGCGGTGCTTAAGTTAATTTTTTTTGTGTAATTGCTTCCACAATTTTTGCCAAAAGTTATTTGATAAATTTGATTTCACGATTGAAAGCAAGGCTGCAAGGTACTCCATGAAGGCTAACAATCTCGTGAAAAAACAGAGGAGAAATATGAAGAGCATCAAATGTTTTTTTACAGGAAATAAAATGAGCCATTTTGAAGAATCTGACGATCACAACCATAATTGAATTAGTGCCTTTTTGTGTTCTAGGCAACTCCAATACAAAGTTTGAACTTAAATCTTCCCATGTATAATCTAGAACCGGTAATGGTATATAGAGGCCAGTGTTTTGGCTGGTGCATTTGAATTGCTAGCAAATTGAACACCTCTCAACATAACTAGAAGCACCTTGCTAGGTACGAGGCCGGAAGAATCGTTCTTTTAGCTGGAAGTTTGTTTTTTCATGACCCAAATGATCTGCTAACCAAACTGCATGTGTTTCCTTGATCAATTGCTATCTTTAAGAAGAGTATGGAACATAGAGTGCGCTTCCCTTGAACAAAAACCCGTCTCGAATTGAGTAGTCAGCTGGAGGTTTTGTTGTTAAGCATTTATTCTAGATTTCAAAGAAGTCTTTGTTAGATGTATGAAGCATCTTAAGTCATTCATGTCTATAATTTCGGTTTGGAGCTGAATGAGCAAGGCAAACCTTGGGGTAAGCGTGTCGGCGACGTGTTTTTGAGACCCATACTTATGCTAGAAGGCAAAAATAAATTTCTACAAATACAATATCCATCGGGCGTGCCTCCGGTTAATGTTTTATTGACTATTTATAAACTGAAGTGTACGATGGTTACTACACAAGACAAAATCTTGATGTAAAAGAAAGAGCTCCCAATGTTTTAATGCACATATAACGGTATATAATTTTTGTTTATATACGATTCATTTCTATCATGACACACTTAACTTATCGCTGAAATATTCCACGGGGCAATCTTGTTGAGATAAAACAACACCAATTCCAACAGCAGACACATCATTGTGAACTTGAAAGGGTTTTTCAAAATCGGGAAAAGCAAAGATGGAAGCCGAGCTTAAAGCGAGTTGATAGTTTCAATACTTCTTTACTTCTATGTAGACCATTCAAAGGCTTTGCATTTCAAACAATCGGTCAATGGTGCCCTTAAGACATTAAATCCTTGAATGAATCGCCTATAAAAGTTTGCAAGGCCATGAAAACTACGGACTTCAGAAAGAGAGTTGAGCATGGGCCATTCCATAATGGAGGAAACCTTGTTTGGGTCGACATGTATGCCTTCGACAGAAAGAATAAAACCCAAAATATTTACACGGTTTACTACAAATTGAGACTTAGCAAGGTTTATATACAAATTACGGCTTCGGAAGGTCTCAAAAATTTGCATCAGATGTTGAATGATCTAAAGAAGTGCTGAAAATTAAATATCTTGAAAATAAAAGACGCAACATTTTTGTAAAAAAGGGTTAAGACCCTCATTCATGAGCCGCATAAAAATGGATGGAGCATTATAGAAGGCCAAGTGACATCACCTTCCATTCATAAAGTCCTCGGCGAGAGGTAGTTTTTCATTCATCGCCGGGTCTAATGAGAATTTGATGATAGCCATTGCGCAGATCTAACTTTCAAAAGACAACTGAACCAATTAGTTTATATAACAGATCTTCAATTCGTTGTTCGGGGAAGCAGTATTTTTTTGTGATTTTGTTTATGACTCTACTGTCAATGCACATATGTCATTTTCCATCTTTTTTTTGGAACTAATAAGGCAGGTACAACACATGGACTCAAGCTGGGTTGGATTAACTGTTTATGTAATAATTCTTTCACTAATTCCTACAAAATACCATGTTCTTTTGGACTCAGCTTATAATGTGGTAAGTTGGGTAAAGATGCTCCCAAAGTGAAGTCTATGTGGTGATGTAATGCATGAAGGGGTGGTAGTTGAGAAGGCAATTCTTTTGGAGCAATTTCTTTGTATTGATCTAACAAATCCTGAACCTACTTTGGAAGTGTCACGAGCTTGTCTTGAACTATCTATTCTGTAACTTGCAAAGAAAACATGGTTTTGAAATCCTGCCCAGCACTCATTAAATTTAGACCGGACACAAGACGCAGTGTTGTATTGGTCTTTTTCCCCTTAGTAGAAATCTCATTTGCATTGGGTAATAACCTCAGCTTTCTATTTTTCAATTCAAAGGAATATGTATTCTGTTGACAATCATATAGAGCTCCCATATCAAATTGCTAGGGCCAACCAAGGATGATGTGGCAGACATCCATGTCAATAACATCACACAGGACAGCACATGTAATTTTTGCCAATAGAAAACGTAATCCGACACATTTCAGAGACTAAAATGTCAATACCTTGTTTAACCCAATTGACTTTGTCTGGGTGAGGGTTCTTCGTGGTTTTTAACTGTAGAGCTTGGACAAGAGATCAGGAAACAACATTCTCAATACACCCAAAATCACAAAAAATTTCATTGATGGTACAAAGAGTGCGAAAAATAGCATTTCCTTAAGAATTATAGGGTGTTGAGATGCGTTGAGGGGCCAAGAGATTTTTTTTTTCTAGGATGCATACCACATTTTCCCCTTCGTTAGTTGCTAGGTCTTCATTTTGGTTTCTTCATGTTAGGACATGTTTTCCTTAGCTTCACCTTCAATAATATGTAATTGTTGACGACTTGGGCATTCATTTGATTTATGTTCAGATTGAAAGTAGTGAAAACACTTTAAATTGGAAGGTTTGGCATATAGATTCTCTCGAGTAGGTGCTTTCACTTCAACTGTTGGGGCATTACTTGGTCCAGGTGGAGTAATTGTTGTGCTATGCTTGCCTAGAAAGACAAGTTGAGTCTTAGAGTTGGATGTCAATTCCTCATATTGTCGTTAAAATGGGTAGCTTCCAGTGTGTCTGTTGAGTTCTAACTCATCCTTGAGAGCAAAAATTGACAGTTTGCGACAAGAACCAAACTGAATTCAAATCTAACCTATCCTAAATTGCTTCCTTCAGCTCTCCATTGTAACGAGCAACCAACTGATTGTTGGTCTCATTAAGATTGTTATGTGCACTCAGCCTATAGAATTTTTTGATAAATTCATTGTTTGTGCGACTCCCTTGTGAACAATGTTGATATTTCATATAGATCATTTATTCAAAATCAGTCTGTAAAAATGTCCTCGAAGCAATTGTTTCATGCAATATTAGTTGTGAATAGCTCCCCTTCCTTACCGCGGTCAGGTTTGTAACAATTGCAACTACCAAGCACTAGCACCTTTAAGTTTGCATGCCACATACTTCACTTGTTTCTTTGGCATGATTTTCATGTATTAAAAGCAAGTTTCTACTACTCGTTCTCAATTGAGGTAATCTTCAATATGTAGTTTTCCATTGTAGAAGGGAATGTCAAGTTTGATTTGAACATCTCTCTGAGTTATGTAGAATTAGTCTTGAGGCCCGCAGTTAGTATTATAGAGGACGGGATTGTCATCCTCTGAATCAGAGTGTGCGAAGCAGTGTAAGGGTTCTAATTCTCCCTCTGAGTCAGAAACTTCTGGGATTGCCCCTGCATGCAGTTTGGTTTCACAAGCACCGAAGTTATGCTACGGAGCTGTAGGAGAATGAGTTCGAGCTGGTCACCTGTGCACTGGATTGGTGACAACACCTGTTGGTAACATCCGTAACTCATGTTTCACTTCCATAGCAAACCAGAGAAATTCCGATGAAAGTTCTTCAAGCTGTTTGACAACATTTGATTGCACCGTACACAATGCCTCTAGGCTACGATCTCATCAAGAGTCGTCCACAGGTTCCCTTTCAGCCATTTCACCCCGTTGAAACTTTGATACCACTATGTCGTAGTAGCAACAAACAGTAGCAGCTAACAGGAAAATGGGAAAAGGAGAAAGTAAGAAACAGAAATAACAAGCAGAAAGGTGTATAATTGTATCAAAATATTATCTATCTCCCTTCCTTTGTTCTACCATTGTATATATTCTTCTATCAAACTGTTACTATATTTGTCCATACAATGGTAAAGCGAGAGAATAATAATATAAATGTAAAGGGACAAAAAGCTGTAATAGAACATAGTGGAAGTAACAGAAAGGTGATATTAGTGGTATAATGTCTTGCTTTCCTTATAATGCTCCGCATCACACCTCCTCTCTCTCCACTGTAGCACAAATAAATAAATAATCATCAATTAACATAAGAGATAAAAATAAAAAAAAAGGAAAAGAGACAATGAACCAATTTTGTGGTCTAGGTGGGCATCAAGAACTCGTCTTATGTTTATTAAATATCAGTTACGTTTTGCATTATTGTAATGGCTGGTGCTTTGATCTTCTTAAATTTGACATGCTACTAAAGGACTCCTTAAGAGACATGATTATTTTCCATTTCCAACAGTAGTCCCTAGACAATCTCATCTAATGAGTTTGTCCTCTCGTACAAATTTATCCACAATAGAAGGTACCTTGATCATTAGATTACATGATCATAGTTTCAAGAAGCTTTTCATTGCATATGGGTAAGATCTATAATGTTAGAATAGAAGGCAGGTATTAAATAAGGCTATAATCTGTTCACGTTTTCTTTGTGCTTCTGTTCGGCATTCAATGCTACTTATCAACATCGAGCAGCTAAACTTATATTAAAATCGAAACTGGTAAAAGCATCTGCCCATAATCTCTTTAGGCATTCCAAGGGTCAGGCACTTATCTAATAATTTTAAGTTCATGTTGCGGTAGATAATATATTGACCACAACAAAGAAATATTTAGTTGGGTGCATGAAACAAAAAAAATTCAATGCCATCTAAATTTTTTTTTTATCCATAATTACCGTTGTAATCCATTCAATTTCATGGGTTAAGTTTCTTCATGTTTGGATACATATTGTATTCATTCTCATTAATCAACGTTTCTTCTATCATCAATATGTGCAAATTATTGTAATCATTTACTAAGACTTTGTTTGTGACAACTTTTTTGCTGTTTATTTATAAGTGCCATTTTGAGTGGTCATAGAAGGTGTTGAGAGATGCATTATTAAATAATTTTTTTATATAGTTCTTAAATAATATATTGACAATAGGCCCGTAATGCACTTAGTACTTGGTTTCAACAGGTCCGGGTGTCGGAAGTAAAAGGCTTGGTCTCCGCACAATGGTTTCCATAGTATTTGCACGGTTGGTCCTTGTTCCTCCAGCAGGCCTTGCCATTGTCACTTTCGCGGACAAACTTGGGTTTATCCCAAAGGGTGACAAAATGTTTAAATTCGTTCTCCTGCTGCAGCATTCTATGCCCACTTCTGTCCTCTCGGGTAAAGCATTTTTTATTCTAGTTTGCCTTATTAGATTCAAATTTGTGACCTTTCCAATGAAGAGTCTGTCATTATTGTGAAAAAAAACATGCCCCTTGTTCAGAGTCCCCGTCTTTGCAGGAATTAAGTCACTCACAATTCTACTGAGAATTTTACATTTAGACTCAAATTGCATGTTTTTATTGTTTATTGTTTTCTGACTCAGTTTGCAAATTTGCATACTATACTGTAAAATACATGTACATATGGATTTAAAAAAAAATTTACTTTATTCCTCATAACAGAATTTTGAAAAATATTCTTTTTTAGTCTACTCTGACATATCAAGAACAGATTTTGGTTAAAATAATGTTTTTATCTGAAACTTTCACTTCAATTCAATTAGTACAGATTTCTAATCTGTATTCTATCATCTATTAGCTAATTATATAGACTTTAAAACTAAGATGATTTAAATTAAAATTTCCACTTTTTGGACTCTTGTTTTAAACATTATTTACTTAGTTTCTTTTATTGTCTAACTTAAACTTCTTATTAATTATGCTTTTATATATTTATCATATATAGCACATAAGTTTCCACACTTTTGTTCGCAAACCTTAAAATGAAGATTATATATACAAGTATATTTCCATGTTGGTATCTTTTGTTTGTACACATTTTTTAATCGTATTTTTACTATATTATTGTACAAATAGAATCCAACACATATGTTGCTATGTTGCAGGTGCTGTTGCGAACTTGCGAGGATGTGGGAAGGAAGCTGCTGCTGTTCTGTTCTGGGTTCATATATTTGCAGTTTTCTCTATGGCTGGATGGATTGTTCTATATTTGGCTATACTATTTTAGATTTTGGTATAGCCTTTGTTCCAAAATAGAATTCTCACACACAGATTCATTATGTTGAAAAGAAAAAAAATCTTTCAGAATAGTTTAATTGTATTTGTCTTTTAAATTTAGTCATATCATCTAATAGTTTAGTTTTATTGATGGATAATATATTTGTCGGCTCTAAATTTTCTTATTCGGCTCTTTTGGGATGGTTAAGTTCAAGGTTAAATTTTCGAATGACTGATTAGATTGAAGATAGTACATTACCCAATGATTTTGTTCTCATTTTATGAGTATTTTAAGACATTGTTTCAAGCTTCTCATAGGCACAAGCTCGTATGATTAATTACCTCTCTAGTGATAGAGAGAAAATTTCCGATTAAGGTTGATCATTAGAGGTTAATTGTCTAGTGTATAGTAACAATAAATTTTGGTTTCAGAAGAGGACGGTGGGGGAATGACAATAAACCAGATCAAGATCTCATGATTATGTCTTTTTTAGTTTTTGTGGACCTTGATCTACTCAGTCAAATGAGGTAGCTAACTTAATCGGATCGTAGGATCATTATTGACGGTCATGAATTATTTCGTCCAAAGGGATCTTATAGACCTACGGTGAATATTATCTCAATGGATAATTTTAAGTTGATATTAGTTAATAGAGGGCCTTATGCTTGATATAGTGCACCCGATGATTCACAACTTTACAGGATTGGAGTCGTTAGGGAACATCAAAGTTATGCTAGTAGCCGTAATATAATAGAGTGATTTTGTAGCAAAACTATTCGGTCAAAGGGTTTTTGTCATAACATTTTATCTATGGTCTCATTTAGTGGCGAAATGTGTTTTTTACTTGTCATAATTTCTTACACTGTGAACATGCATGGTGCACAGGATCTTTCCATGCATTTTAGTGCATTTGCAAGATGCACATACAAGTTTTTCAAGGAGTTTACAGTATGCATTTATACACTTAAGGCATTTTAAAAGCTTTAAGATAACTCATGACACGTGTGTGTGACTTGGAGCATCTTGATTTTGTTGTTTGCATGAATGTTTGGTCATTATAGTGCATGCAATGTTTTATTTTGAGATTTTAAATATTGCTTTTTGTTCGCCCATCTGTATGTTATAGATCTGGTGGCAAATGGCACAAATTAAAATTTTGCCACTTGATTTAAAATTTAAATTTTTTTTTGCTATACATACTTTATAATTTAGTGAGGTGAGCCCCCACAAGGAATTAATTTTCCTCCATTAGATAGGACCGGAGGCTTCGGTCCATTTATGGTCTTGAGTGTTTAATTGAAGTTAGAAAATTTTTTGTTGCTCGTAGGTGAGTCCCAGTTCCTGGAGAATTCCCTATAAGTTCATTTTTTGTTCAAATTTATCTGTTCAATGTGACTTGCATGATATTTTAAGTATTTATTTTGCCCTTAATTTGCAGTTTGTTTGTTTCCTTTTGTCAAATTTATGTCAAAAAGGCCATTTTTTTTGTGTTATTTGCAAGTTTGGTTATTGTAAATTTTGATAGTCTCCTGATGTCTCCCTCATATAAGAGCACGGATGAGGAGTGCTATGTTTTTCCACTACGCCTGAAAAGTATGAATGTTTGTTGTTGTGAGATACCATGTTCAGGTAGTCTTCTAACCCACTACACTTAAAAATTGTGCATATGCCTTCAATACGTGCACTAAATTATATGCAAGATTTCCTTGCTGCATTATAACAACATATACGAGTACTTATTTTGTATTTTTACTATTGCATTGGACAATGTGCACAGTTATTTAAATTTTGGTGTCATTTTTCTTGCATTTTTAAGCAAGGGATGAGATTTGCGAGAATTGAAACCTGCGTGTTATTATTATTATTTGAAATTTCTTCTTTTTTGGTATAAAAAAGAAAAAAAAGAGGCATGATTGAGAGAGGGAGGAAGAGGCGGAGAGATGAGTAGAATGGGAGAAAAGGTGAAACATAAAGGAAGGGAAGTATGAGTATTAAAATAAGTCAATTGGTCGGGTTTGAGTTCAACTTGAAATTGATTAGACCTGAATTCGATCAACATGAGCCCAACCTGTTCAGTGAAAGAGTAAAAAATATGGATCCGAACATGACTCGCTAGTTACACAAATGACTCAAATTGATAATACATTTTGATTTTAAAAAATTCCTTTTTATATATACATTTTTAACAAAAGATTTTAAATTAATTAATAAAAAAATAAGATATTATACGAAGAAATTAAAAAAAAAAAATTAAGTGGGTCATTTTTATTAAAAATGGTTGGAAGGTCAGCTTGAATATGACTCATTTATTAAATAGGTCAATCCAAATTTGAATTTTTGGATTGGGTTATTTTTTTGACACTCCTAAAGGAAGGGGTGGATTGCTGCATTAGTGCCAATAGAATAACAACGAGCTGAACTGGAAAAAGTGTTGGGTAAGTGAAGCTCGAAAGCGTTATATTGCATCCCCGAAGGAAGGTGTGATCGTCGATGTTTCATTAGGTTACTATCGTGTAGTGGCTTGATGTTGATTTGAAAGCTTTAGTATGAGAGGATAAAAATGTTTCCATAGTTATTTACTTCAACAACATTAAGATGAAAAAAGGCTACTAGCGGCTATGGAAGTTGACATTTGTTGTGGGTTGGAGGAACAATTATTACGTCTTCCGACCGGACGTAGAGGAACGTCCGGTCGGAGGCCAAATCGCACCAAAAAATGAGAAATATCGAGCAATACCAAACAATAACGAGAAATACCATCACATGAAGACCCAATACCGAGTTATACCGAGCTATACCGAGCAATACCGAGTTGTACCGAGTTTTTTCTAGGAAAAACTCGGTACAACTTTTGTATAACTCGGTATTGCTCGGTATAACTCGGTATTGATCTTCATAGAGCGGTATTCCTCGTTATTATCAAATAATACTTAGCAATACCGAGCAAATACCGAGTTTTTTGGCGGGATTTTGCTTCCGACCGGACGTTCTCTACGTCCTTACATCGGACCTAATAAAAGTCATCACTTGTGATACTCCAGAATTTAATTTGGTGGAATTATTTTTTTATTTTTTAATGTGCAACAATCATGACTTCTTAATTTCTTTGGTCAATATAAATACTAGTGAAAATAAAATTATCAATCAAAACATTAATATATATATATATATATATATATAATCTATTATTGTCATTCTTTTTAATGAAATTAATATAAATGCACGTGTACATAGAGCGCATGAAAAAAATTTTAAAAAATAAAAATATATAACAAAATAAAAAAATTTATGATATGCTATATCTAAGATATTAAATTATATATCAATATTAAATATAAAATTTGTATAAATATAGTTGATTTATACATATAGATGATTTATACTTCTATTATAATTGAATTAAAATAAATTGAATTAAGATAGATAATAATAGAATTAAGATAGATAAGAATAATTTATTAGATAAACTTTCACGTGATTATGAGCTTAATAATACTCTAAATGCTCTCTAAATCTATTAACACCATCAACAAAAGATAGAAAATAGAAACCAGAAAGCATCAAATCACTATCAGAAATCTAGGCAGCACCTAGAGCAAAACTGAAGCAAGTGCAAGAGCCACAAGTCCAGAGAAATATAACACTAATAGCCTATACTATTTTCAATCAATAACTTATCGTAATTAATTTTGGAATAATTTTCATTAGATTTTTCAAATAAAAACATTAATAGTAAATGAATTTTAACACTTGCAAATTTTACAATAAAGAATTTAAACTTAGTAAGTATTATCCGAATGAAATAGACAACAAAATCAGAGAGAAAATAAAAGTTTAATATAATAAAGGAAAACCAATCATCATAAAAGCCAGTAGCTCAAAGTCAATATGAAACTTCAACAACAATAATGTCAGCAAATAAAATAGATATCGAGCATTCTGATTCGAAAGAAGAATAGTCAAATCCGAGTCTTTATTGACTATTGGGATCTGAATAAGGCATATCTCAAAGATGAATTTTCATTACTCATACCAGACCTTATGGTGGACATTATTTCTTTTCATGGTTTTTTCTCCTTTATGGCTCGTCTGGTTATTATCAAATCTAGATGACCCCAAAGTATGTGAGAAATAATGCATTTAGAACCCCTATGGGCATTTTTATTATAAAGTAATGCCATTTGGCCTTAAAAATGCTAGTGTAATCTACCAAAGGGCCATGACTCGAATCATTGATAACTTAATATATAATCAAGTCAAGTACTACATTAACTATTTAGTTGTCAAGAGTAAAGTTATAGAGGCTCATCTTTTTGACTTAAGAATCATTTTTGATCGATTGCGCCACTAGGACCTTAAGTTGAATCCCTTGAAGTGCACTTTCGGCATGACATCAGGGAAATTTCTAGGTTTCTTAGTGAGGTACTGTGGAGTTGAAATTGATCCTGCCAAAATTGAAGCTATCTTAAATAAGCCTCATCCCAAGAGTTACTTAACTACGGTCTCTTTAGGGAAGGCTAGCGTATATAAGAAGTTTCATTTCTAACTTCTATGGAAGATATCAACCATTTTTGTCCTGGCTAAAAAGGATGCTAAATTAATATGAGATGAGAAATGTTAATCTACCTTTGAAAACATCAAATAATATCTTAAAAATTTTCTAGTCTTGGCAACCCTTATTCCGAAGAAACCTTTAATCCTTTACACTGTGACCCTTTACAAGTATCTCGGGGCCCTCCTAGCTCAAGTCAATGACAAAGGGAAAGAGATTGCCCTCTATTACCTAAGTTGGAGACTTCTTCTAATGAAAATTTGATACCCTTCAATCGAGAAACATTACCTTGCGTTAGTCTTTGCAGTACAAAAACTAAGGTATTACATACTTTCTCATCAAGTCAATTTGATTTCCAGTGTCAATCCCCTAAAATACCTTGTGACTTGGCCTACATTTTCAGGATTTTTAGCATGGTGCTCTATGTCATTACTTCAATTTGAAATCACTTTCATTCCCCTGCATGCCGTGGAAAGGAAATGCCATTGCCAACTTCCTTGCGACACACCCACTGCCAGAGGAATCTCCTTTAAATGATGATTTAGCTGACGATCAAATCATGAGTTTCAAGGAATCCAGCAATTGACTCTGGGAAATG